CCCCTAAATGCATTGAAGCAACTGCCATGTGATTGGTTGATTAGATAATTGCATTAATGAGAAATTGAACAGGTGTTCCTAACAATCCTTTAGGTGAGTGTATATGTACTGACTAATTACAGGTGACACACATGATTTCACAACAGACCCAATGATTTGACAAAAGGAACATTTGTACATAATAAGCTCTGTATTTTCCACTATTTCCTAGTTTTGTTTGAAGGTTCAGTGAGTATCACTGCTGCCTCCCACCCCCCAGGTTGCTGGTTCGATTCCTGGTTGTGGGGTCTACATATCACAGTTCTTGTATTAACCTAAGTTTACCTAACACAGACTAAAGACATGCAGTTAGGTGAACTGGTGTTGCCAAATGGTTCATCATATGTGATGGACTGGCATCCCATATTGGGAGTTCCCTGCCCTGTGCTAACTGGGATCCATTCCAAGGTCATCGTGACCCTCTATGAGATATTTTGGTAGCAGAACATCTCTTCCTTAGAATGCAGAACAGAAAATCCTCCTGCCTCTCAGGGCTCCTGTAAAATAAACCGCAAAACTAGGGCAGACATTTGTTATTTTAACAGCTCCAAATGCCAAGAAGTGGCCGGTAATAATGAGTCTGCCTGTAGCTCTGGCCCTAGGATGCGTGTAACACAGGATGGGAGGGGTGAAAAAAATGTTTCTCAGAAGCTGCAGCCTTGAAATGAATAGGCTGAGTCACCATGGTTACGAAAGGAGAGCAGGTGTCATGAAGAATGAACCTGATTAACAAGGCAATGAGCCTGTGGATATGAGAACACATTCATAGTACACAAAGTTAAAGCTAAAGGAACAGTCATATAGATAACACGCATGTTAATACTGATGTGTATATGTTTGCATGCTACTACTGACTCATTCATGCTAATGTTGCCAGCGCGTATGGTAATGCTGTAGTACCTGCACGCTGTTATTCCCGACACTAGTGGCCCTCTTCCAACGGCGCGAGGCCCCCAGCACCTCCCCCAGCAGCAGAGCCAACCTCCTCTCCATCCGGGCCTGGAAAGTACGCTCGCCCACCCGCTGATCCAGCACGCCCAGCAGCACTGCAAGGCAGAGGCACACAAGCATCATGGCAGGGCCGTACCTGGGCACCAAGATTGGATCATGTGGCAGCCTACCTGTCTTAACCCAGGATGATCGCAGCACCTGGCTGACATTCAGTTCTGGGTAGTGAAATGCTGTAAATGAGAGGGAGATGAGAAAGATTCTCCAGCTAAACAGGGTGCTCAATATGCCAGTCTACCACTGGAACACACAAGATGCAAAGGAGCAGGATTAGCTCCCAGGTAAAGGGCCTGACGTTCAACTGACGTTCAGCAATTTGCAGTACTGGGAAGCCCACATAGAAGCTGAACTCCACCATGGTGAGGAGCCGCAGGTGGCTGCTGACTAATGACCCCTCCAGGTAGCCACTGAAGTCACGCACAGCAAAGGTGATGTCTACTGGCGCTCTCTGCTGGCGCAGGGTTTTGGTGGCACCCATGGTGATGTTGATGATCTGTAACACAGTGTACAGTGTACCTTCATCACACGGTGAAAGAAATGAAGAGCCTTGGGAAACATTTACTTACTTCATTCCATTCCTTAAACACTAGGAACCCTAAACCTACGCAAATTTGCGTAAAATCCCTAGAACTAACACCTCTGCGGACCCCTTCAGCGTCATTGTTCTCTTGCTTTTGTTGTGCAAACACACCATTTACCTGTGAAGCCTGAGAAGACACCTCTGTTCCACCTCAGACACTTCACACCTCCTCTGCTTCCACACTCTCTGCTCACTGTTCCTCTCCCTACAACCACAGCATCCAGCACACACCCAGCACCTTTAGCCACTGCCTATGGTACCTTGGCGTTTACCTGAACAATAAACTGGACTGGACTTATAACACAAATGCACTCTACAAAAAAAGGCAGAGCAGGCTGTACCTGCTGCGGAGGCTTAGGTCTTTTGGAGTGGAGGACCTTTTTTGACTCTGTAGTGGCATCAGCCATCTTTTATGGTGTGGTCTGCTGGTGCAGCAGAATCTCTGCTAGGGACAGAAAGATATTGAACAGGCTGATCCGGAGGGTCAGC